AGCCCATCTACATTGTAGCTCCACTAACCATGTATGCCTTATCCACCAAGGTCGCCCATGTACACCCTAGCAAGGTCGACTATGTGCAGCCTAGCTCTAATTTTAAATTTAAAATAAATTTTTACCCCGAGGGGCGAGTTTATTGGACAGCGCCACTCATCTTGTGAGTGAACATACCACCATTGCAGTATGTACAACTGCTATGATTGAGATTGATTGAGAAAGCCAGCTGCAATTGCACTGAACCAGCGAACAGATCCTCTGATTTCTTCCTCTATCCTCACTTTCCAGCAGTTACCTTGCCTGGTAATAACTCTGATTTGTAGCAGCGTGTTGGTACGAAGTATTCAATATAGTCTCCTTCAGCGCCTTCAGCAGTCAGCACATCTGCTCGTTCATTCCCACAGTTCCAACATGGGAGAGGATCCACTGGAATTTGATGATTCTTCCCTGATTGGTTAGTACCCTCACGTATTAGGACAGTTTGCTATATAAACTAGCTTGCACGGCCACTCGTGTACATATAGCTAGATCACCTATATACACCCTGGCTTGGCTACCCATGTACACTCCTATAGTACGTGTGGTCATGTAAACCCGTAGCTCGGTCTCTGTTGTGTACCGTGGCTGGAGTCTGGTCCTGGTAGACCAGATGTCGTGGCCAAGTGCCTCTGTCGTTAACGCAATCGTGAAAGATTAGTTGTTTTGCAAATATGTGACTTAGCTTAGAGTAGGTCCTTTTGGACCTTCTGCCCTCTTCTTCTTCTTCTTCTATTCCCTTCCTTCTCCTGTCCTCTCCTCTCCTCTTCTCCCCTCTACTTCTCTTCCATTCGTCCTGAATTCACCCTTTCAACCTTTTTTCAGTCTTTGCTTCTTTGTGGCCCTCCTTGCCTCCTTAATTATCACTCTTCCTTCCCCCCTTCCCACTACCCTTCCTGTCCACCCTCCCTCTACCCTTCCCTCCTCCCTCTCGGCATCCATCCTTCCCTCCCATCATGGCGTCATCCCTCCCATCTTTCCACCACCTTTCCCTCCATATCCGTTAGATTACACCATAATCGCTGGCAGGATGGGTGAGGGGAAATGGGGCTGGGGAATGGCTTAGTGGGGAAGAGGTGGGGTTCTGTGCTTGTGTGGGGGGGATGGGGTGAGGATGGGTGGTAGTGGAGACGGTTTGGTACTTCCCTCACATACCTAAAAGTGCCTACATAGGAGTCAGGTCTATCTCATCTCACCCTCCTGATATTTCAGGTTTCTGTCGTATCTATGGTCTTGAAGTTCTGAAATGAGGTGGTTTTGTACGACCTCCATTCGTACAGGGTATAGGAGTGGTTACGTACTTCTCAATTACTCTTTTCTGTGTCCAGCTTCTATCTCTTATCTCTTATCTCTCACTGCTAGGAGGCTGTCCTGGTATATTGCTTCTGAGAATCCTCTCAGAATATATGATCGGTATATAGTGATCATGTCCAGTCTGCTCATTCTCTCCTTAAAGGAAGTAAGACTGCGTTTCCTAACCAGTACCTGTGGTAATAGGGGAGATGGTGGTGGCTGTGATGGTGATTGTGGTGGAGATGGTGATGGAAGTGATAGTGGTTGTGGTGGTATATCACATCTGCCTTACGTAATGCCAAAAATATATCTTTTAATACGTATATTCGTTCAGACATTAGATACTTTACTGGAAAAGTAAAAAAAGTGTTATTAAAAAAATCTTGTGTTAAAAATAATGATCTAACCAGGTAAATTGATCCATACTCTCTACCTTTTTATAATTTAGGCCTCACCTATTATAATCTTGGCTTGACAGTGTAATTGAGCCCTGATAAATGCAATATATACGTAATTTATTTGGCTCCTTCTCTGTCAGTCTCTACCTCTTTCTATTTTTCTCTCTCTACTCTCTCTTTTTTTCTTTTTCATTCTCAAGTTCAAGTTCACGTAAGTTTATTGAGATTAACAAAAAATACGTCTCAAAGGGATATAATAGTAGTAGAGGGTAGACACACTTTAGTAGGGTAGAATATATCTACCATCGTAGAAATACTCTTTTATTATTTCTCTATGTGTATTTTTGTCCCTTTCTCTCTACTTTCTACGTGATTCTCTATATTTTCCTCTATCTCTCTGTCTCTTCTGTCTCTATATCTGTTTGCCTCTCTGTTTCTCTCTCCTATTTTCTCTTTCTGTCACTGTCTCTCTCTCTCTCTCTCTCTCTCTCTCTCTCTCTCTCTCTCTCTCTCTCTCTCTCTCTCTCTCTCTCTCTCTCTCTCTCTCTCTCTCTCTCTCTCTCTATCTCTCCCCCCCTCTCTCTCTCTCTCCCCTCGTGTCGTCTTCAGCAACATTTAACGACTCGTTCCCCTCTGGTTCAGTAAC